ACTTGTTTCGGAAACTGTAAGATTATCTACACGAGAGCCAGTGATCCTTCAAAGATCTGCATTGCTTTTTTGACAGTTGCTACGTCGATATCTGCTAGTTTTCCGGTCTTCGAAGCAATGATTACACAGTTATTCTTCTCTTCTGCGTTTGGTACAAAGAGCTTCCCTTTCTCTTCTGAGGAGAACAACCCAATACTGGAAGAAAAAAGTAAAGGAAACACACAAATGTCAATTCTTGAATAAATTGATGACACTTTTATCTTCATCAGATATATTTTTCACCTTGGTTTGTCTCGCGCATTAGCTAGTTGAATCGCAGCTGTGTTTGTTGCGATAACTCCAGCAGAATCGTTGATTAGAGCAGCCAGCTAAGTAAGGTAAGAAAAGGAATCAAGTAAGATCAGAGTTTTTTCAACTTTGTTCAGTAAATACACACAGATGCATATACATACCTGTCCTGGTGTTGTGATGAACACTATAGATGTACCATCACCCACAAATTCTTCGACGTTTTCCCTCTCTTTCTCATGCGGAATCACATAGACCGGCTTGAATTCCCTGGTATGTTTCAGAATCCATCTCAGAGAAAAAATTTCACATCTCATACATTTATGATGCTGTCTAATTTACCTTATACACTTTGATATCCGAGCCCATTTTTGAAGTGGAAGCAAACTATCACTATCTCCTTTTGATTGCATTGATGCCTTTGAGTCTGATTCAATCCCATGAATCACTATAAACTTCCCTGTCTCTGCTCCAGCTTTCCTATACTTCTCAGCCACAACCTCTTTCAATTTCCGTGAAATCGATACCTTAAGTGGCAACACAGGAGTCCTTGGAACACTCCTAAACGGTCTTCCTAACCAATCCTCCATCTGAGTGTACCTGAAACCCATCAACACTCAATTCACACTTCCCAAAAGTCTGCATTTTGATTGGTTTGTTAAAAAAAAGAAACTCACATTTTGTAGCCTAATTCTGAAAGGTTGGTATTTTCTGCTGTAAAGGTTTCCGACAGCATCAGACCAGCTCCAGCAGAGTTAACATTCGGGTAAATGTAACTAACTCTGTCTCGAGCCGTTGTCATGAACAAGAACGCTGCGTGGCCTAACCCAGCGAGCTTCGTGGACAGAATCATATCATAGTACCTTCCCTGAAACATGTCTTAGTGTAACCTATCTATATAAATAACGGAAAGATAAAAGATTGAAACATCAAAAAAGGTACAAACTTTGAGTTGTCCAATCATGTCTGTATATTCAGCTGGTTCAGGCCAATCATCATCTGGATCATACACATTTGCCCATCTCACGTTTTTGTTTAATTCATAAGTTTGTTTCCCTCTATCAGTCGTTAACACATCTACCTGAACACCAGGATACCTTAAACACACAAACGGACAATGTTCTGCATTTCATTTCGATGTGCTAAAAAATGACAAATTGGAGAAAGATTTTTAGACTTTTACCTGTCTTTGATTAGCTGAATTGTCGGGAAGAAGAGCAGATTCTCGTAAACACCACCGGAGATAACACAACAACATCGTCGAACATCTCCTCTGATTTTCAACGGCAATGAAGCGAGCTCGACGGTGTAACCCATCGGGAATTTCAAGAACCCGTAAGGGTTATCAGGATTATCCGGTGGTCTTGGATCCTCTTCTTGTTTTCCGTCGACGAACAATGACCCGTATTCGTTATTCGGGTCTTCACCGTCATCAAACGGGTCGAGCCATGTGTTCTTCTTCTTGCAATTGATTGATACATCGGAGGGTTTCGAAGTTAGCCGGGTTTGGAAGTTGAGGAAGACGAGTGGTTTGGTTGGAAACGGCGGCGTTTTGAAGAATGGTGAAATGGGTTTTGGTAATTGAGGAAGTGAAGCCATTGATGATCGATGGTTTTTTTTAGAGCCGAAGAAGAAGAAAGTTATGGATTTTTTGAATGTTTTAAAGAAAGAAAAGAGATCTCTTTAGGGAAGTTGAGATAAGTGGGTCCCTTTTGTAGCTATTTTTCGACCTTAGAAGAACATTTAGATGAGCATTTCATTTTTATTCAGACATATTTAACTATATAATTAATATTCTCTCTACCAGTAATTAAAAGTTTGTCTTGATATGGGATTTTAAATGCACGAGCAAACAAACATTCCTAATCTAAAAAGCATTAATTACATTATTAAATTAAACAAGTAACTAAACCTTACAGTAGTAATCAAACACATGTCGGATTAACCATCGTCGAGGTCGAGGAAACGATGACGTGTTGAGCTGTGACTGGTGAACTACATTTTCTTCACGTTTGTTTGCTTTT